TTAATTCCCAGAGAGTTTAACATTTAATGGCATACTTTTTGGGTCTGAATTTAAGGCGTAAGCATAAGGATGCGACTCTGAGCGATTTCATTTTCTTGTACGATGTGCAGCTGTCTCCGAGGCGAAAACGTGTCAGCTATTTTTATATGTGTACATGCAAGGTTCTATACATATATATTTCCGAGACGCCCTTATGTCTGAGTCAAGGCAAAGCCATGCATTAAATATACATACATGCTGAAACAAAAAGAAATTTGTTCGAATGTGCGTGGGAACATTGCAAATACAAGTGAGTACATTTCGTACATTTTTGCTTATATAATTCATAGCCCACCTTTGTTGTATGGTTTTTCGCGGAAAAATTTGAGTTCTTGTGAAAATTCCTGGGTAAGTATCCCAAATAATGTATGTACATAACTCTCTCCTACCGTAAAACCAATAAATAATTTAAAGTCCCGATCGATTGGTAATCTTTTATATTTTATCTTTTCAGGTCCAAATAATGCGACATTATAATAAAAGAATTCACATTTTTGATATCTTTAAGCAGTAAATATATTATTATGTATATGAAAGTATATAAATTTAACCGGTTAAATAAAATAACATCGTATTTAGTTAGGTAATAGTTCAATTTAAATTAGAAAAGTAATTTTAGTCGAAAGCCACCGCAGCCAGTGCTTGGTAATTTTGCAATTAAGTTATGCTTAGCTTAATTTGTTAAATAAATAAAAATAGAAAGGTAAATTATTTTTAAATACATATTTTTATATAAATGCCGAATAATTCAAAAAAGGTATAACTTGTAAAATCCTGAACATGTTTAAGTTGCCTTTCAAGTCTATGGAGTTTTCAACTTTAACTTCTTGCCATGTTTTTGGCAACAAATTAAGCTTTAAGCCCGAAAGGAGAGAAAAGTAGATGAAAAACTTTGTTTCCGCTCAATATCAGGTCCTAATTGGGCATCTTTGGTTTGCTGCTGTTCCTGTTTGCGAGTTGGCTACAGTTTTCCGACTCATTATGCTGCTTAAGTTAACAACAGTGACTCAATTGTGCTTCGCTCAGCTGACAGCCACAAGAACGCCCAAAATCCCACGAAAACAAACCCAACTGGAAAGGCAACTAATTAAGCTTCGATTAACTTTGCCACGAGAACAATAGAGCACTATGAGTATGACAAGCCACAGAATACTGAATAGCAGCCCGCAATCATTGCCATGACAAACCCTACCCACTAAATCGACAGGATTTTGTTATGGCCCCAAGGAAGTGGCCAGGATGAGAGCGGCCTAAACAATCGAAACCATTTGGTAAATAATCGAAATATGGGAAGCGGTTCAAGTGCTTTGGCGAAAACTTTTCCCACCATGCATACGATGCGGTATCATTTTCGATGGTACCATAGTACTATAGCCTCCAGTGCATAAAAGTTCAAGATTGTGAAAATTTCAACAATGAAATGAAACTTTTTATGTTAAATGGGAATTAGAGCAGAGCCGGAAGGTGGATAGATGCATGATATAGTGAAAGGGAGCAGAAGCCATCAATGTACGGCAATATTGATCAGATATTACAATCAAAGTTTTGGGAATCCAGACTTTAAAATACAGAACAGTGAAAATTAATTTAAGGGTTAAGTGAGGGATGTTTTTTTAAGATTCATAATATTTATTAACCATAAATTATATATTGGTAATTTGGCTTGCAAAAAATAGCATACAGCAAAGTTGTCTTTCCCCGCCCGGCATTAAACTATTTATTTATTTTGAATTCTTTTTATGGCGAAAAATCCCTTTAATGCAAACATCCACTGTGCGCAGCAGTTTATTTAAAAAAATCATGGGACACTTTTTTGGTTTTGCATAAGGCCGATTGGGTGCTGGAGTTGTCCAATCTTTTTGCCCACGACACTGATGCCAATTTCAATCAATTCAATTAATGCCTCAATTCATGGTTTTATCTCTCATTCCGCCCCCGTAACACCATACGAAAATGGGGAAAAACGGGCGAAACAAAGTAAAAGAAGGCAGGGAAAAAACGTCGAACGGAAATCCCGAACAAACCGCAATGGCCGGCAGCAGACAATGCAAATTGTTTGAGTGCCGCCCTCTGAATCTCCACTTTTGTATCTGTATCTCTATATGTGTACCTCTGTAGCTGTATCTGTATCTGTAACTGCGGTTTCCGTTTTGGCTTTCTTTTTGCGATTTTATTGCATGTGAAGTATTTGAAGTATTTGCGAACTACGCTCGAGTGTATTCATTCCCCTTTAGCTGCAAAAGAGAGAGTTGGGAGACTTTAATGTACTCGCAGTTCATTTTGTATTCATGCACTTTACAATTTCTTGTTTCCGATGCAGGCCAACAAATGCATGGGCAGGCCACAATGGGTCGACCAGGGGACATAAGGAGCACAAGGAGCAAAGGAGCACAAGGAGCAGCAGGATTCAGCAGGGGCAGACTCAGCAGGATGTGTTCCTTCGGTTTCGTTTGGGTAATCATCTGCTCTGGAGTGCTTGAGTGGTCTTTAAGCTATCTGCTTGCTGATGATGGATAGAAAATAGCTGCAGCTCTAGTTCTAGCTGGGGAATATGATTTATGCGAGCGCCCAAAAGCACCGAAATATCTTTTTTCAGTTAAGGTAATATATTTGTTAACCCATGTAAATGCCAAAAAATAGATGTGAAAGTAAGTGAAAAGTTATACCTCTTCTATTTGGGGAAAATAAAAAATTACTTATCAGCCAAAAGCACTTTTAGGAGCAATATTTTCAAACAATATATATTTACCTTCCGCGGGGTTTCACTTTCAAATTTTATGACATTAATACCGAACATTGTTCTCTCCAAAAACCACATTTAAACCGATGAAATATTGCCACCAAATTTTGTTTGATACAAAAAGTCAACAATAAAAAAATTGTTCAACATTTTTTCAGTTGACGGTGCTTATGTTAATATTATCATGTGCTGATTGTCGCTTTTATGCGATATATATATAACTTATTATATTTTCACCTTTCATTTATCGTTAACCTTTAATTTTTAGTGGTCGCTAAAAAAAAAATGTCTTTAAAAGTTAAAAATAAATTAATTGAGGTTTTGCTGTTTTCAGGATTGTTGATAAGGCATGTTCGAAATTAATTTATGAGTCAGTAAGTTAATTAAACGATTTATTAACCAGGATATTTGTTAGCCTGCTTAAATTTAAAGAGAATACAGGCTGAGAATTGTAGTTCAACATAAAATTCGTCACTTGAAATGAATTTAAATGCACACAATCGCATTTACAATCACAGAACTCTTTCATGCATTCTTGGGCCGGGGATCGACTTTAAGCACATTTCCATGGAACAACATGGCAACAATGCAGGACCAACGCAAATATCGAAAGGGAAACACGTGCAGGCGGCTGGCGACAATCATTACAAGGACGATGAGCATAAACAACACAGCAGCAACATCCTGACAGACGGAAACGCAAACAAAGCACTCGCACACTCACTCACTCACACTCACATTCACATTCATGATATTTACATTTACATACCACAGCACGTGCGACTGTATTTGTGGCACCATTTATAAAGCAGATATATGCGACACAAAAAATCTCACATTATGTCAAATGTTTTGTTTGTCCTTTATGGGAGAAGAGATGTCAACGCCCGTTGTTTTTCGTCCTGGCGAACACTACGTGCCTGTTGAATTGGCGCGCCACAGCTCGGATTTAGTTCGCATTTTTACTGGCCAATCGAGCACAAATTAAGCCCGGATCAAGGACCTGGCCAAAAGCACTCGATTCAGCAATCGCTGGCTAAGCACTTGGGCGACCGTTTTCAACCTGAAGTTTTGTCCGACTTAACTTGCAACCAAAAGTTTTTTTCTATTCGCATTCGTTTTCTGGTAAGAGAGAAGTAAGCACAATTGGGTCAATACACTGCCAAATCGCTTGTGCACAAGGCAGGGATTTGTTGCCAACGGGAAGTGGAAACAGCTACAAGAACAGGAAAAGATATATAGTCGCAGGAGTCAAAGCCAGTGAAATAATACCCGAGTCCTTGAGTTTTTCAAGTTCAATTTTAGCTACGTTGCGTGATTGGTATAATTGATGTCTGAAAATTGTTAATTATCCTCAAAGTTGGTTTCCACATCCACAGCCACATCCGTTTTGTAAGGGGCTTATTAGAAGCTCGCCTTGTGAATTTTAGATCTCCACCTCTGATGTCTAAATCCCAGCCAGCAAGACTGTTCAATTATACTAATGCTATTATCTCGGTATTACGCATACGCAGTGTGTGCACCCAATAGAGGCTCGTAAAACGCAGAGCTGGCATTAATATATTATTTGTGGTTTTCCTTCATCCAACCAATGCCGAGTGCAATTATTTGCAGAATATGTATTTAGTTTGGAAGCGGGGAGCTCTTAAATATTTCAGTCATTCAAGGGAGTCTTTAGGGTTTGTTGTGTTGTATAATTTATTTAAGCAACACATTCTCTACCGAGAATTTCAAGCCACAAAGTGTCAGACTTGATGCTCCGCCTGCTGCCGGCAATAAATCTTGAAGTTCATTAAAAAGTTTATTTATATTTCACCTGCTGTGAGTGAGGGAAAGAAGTCTCGCAAGTGTCAAAGAAATAAAAGCTCGAATTGCCGACAAATCTTTGTTAAGCTTGACCTTGACTGATGGCCTCTCATAAGAAGTCATTTGGATAAATTTAGAACAAATTTTTTTTCTTAAGAATAAAGTAGCAGTAAACAGAAAAATAAACTGAATGAATTCCTCAAACTGCGCTCTGAAAATGTAAAATTTTAAAGGTTAATTGTTACATAAAAACAAAATTAAATGAAACTAACCTTCCAAGTACTTAAATTGGAATTTTAATAAAGCAGTTTATTAAAGCAAAGGTACAAACATTATTAATAAAAATATGGCCGTTCCAATATAGATAAAAACGTTGTACTTTTGCATCATTGATGACTATTAATTAACCCCAAAATAAATATCGACCGAGCACCAAAATGGTGTTTTTATTTATGCCCAAATATGTGCATTCACAAGCTTCATTCAACTAAAAAGTATTTCGCCATTGAGGAGTCAACCAGGACGCCATCAAAAGGAAGCGCTCCAATAAGTTTGAATAGCATCACAGATACACTCATCTACATACACAAATCGTATATGCATGTTGAACAGGATATAGTGTGGCTTCGTCCTTGCTTTTGTATTTGTTAACAATGAAGAGGGTGGGTGAGTGGGAGGTCGGGCCTTAATTAATATCTGGCTGGAAGAGTCCATATATAAAACGTAAGGGAATGCAATGAGCTGATAGGAATATAATAAGGAAACTTAATGCTTCATAGCAAAACGAAAAAGTAATACCATAAGTATTTGTTGGTATGACAGGAATTTTACAAATAAATCTATGAGGGAATAAAAAGAGGTATACAATTATTTGTTATATTTTAAAAATTTTTCTTACCCAAAATTGACTATATTTAGTGATCTTAAAGAGTATATATCATATAAGCAGAATATGTGGGCTATGATTATGATCACATCGAGTAGAATAACATAATATTTCAAAATTAATCGATCCCGTGACCTCCTGGTTTTAAAATCCGGCTGTAAAAAACATTGACAAACGATGTTTAAGCTGTAATTAATAATAATTGATAATTCAAGTAATATTCAGCACTAAACAATTAGCAAATATAAAATATATTTTTATAGACTTAAGACAATAATAATTATTGTCTGAATCTGGGCTAATAAGTTTTTGCCAAATAAATTAGGAATCTACCTATGAAAGAGGGGCAAGCTTTAACAACAGCTTGAATTTTTCACAATCGCCAAGTATGTTTTTCAGTTACAAAATTTGGATAATATATCGTATAGCTCACATACCTTTGTTCATTTAAGAATAATGGTCTCCACCAGCAAACAGCAGTCCTAATTAATTGAAGTCTAATTGAACTGAGGCTGTGAAAAGCCAGTACTACTGGCATCTCTCTGAAATTTCGTATATCGCCGGGAGCTTTCAATCGCAGCGCACGTCGTAGGCGGAGCACTCGCCAAAGTCCGACTTGAGGGTGAAGTACATGCCCACTCCGATGCTGGCCACCAGGATCAGGACTCCCAGCCAGTAGAGCAGACGCCAGAAGGGCCATGACGTTGGCTGCTTTTTCTGGGGACGCTCTGTCCTCACCTCCTCGTCGACTTCAACTCTGTTTATTGGTTGGCGGCGTGGCTTATTTCCCATTTCCCCTGGAACTTCAACTTTAGCTTCGAATTTCCCCCTTTACGGTAATAATTGATTGGATTTTCATGGGCAACTCGACAGGAGCAGAATGATAACGTTCTATTGAAATTATTTAAACATCTGGTAGGCTGAGATTCATCTCGTCGGCAAAACTTTTGGCTAATTATTTAAGTTAATTGGCCTTTGTCCGCAAAAGGCCAGGAGAAACGACGATGATGGGGTGGTTAGGTCAGGCCTAAAATATTTGCTAGGAGGCCACAAAATGTCTCGCAAATTTGTTAAAATTACTTGGAACACAACAAGAGTTGCCGCCTCACTTCGACATCCTTTCAGACCGGACTCCATGCATAAATAAAGGGGCCTGGGTGGAATATAAAAGGACTTTGTTTGCGGTCGAGAGATGAAAAGTCATTTCTCTCCATTATTTGCGAACTAATTGGTTGTAGGACTTGTGCATTTCTGTTGCTTAAATGTTTGCCCAAAGAATTTTGGGGTATTTTGTGAGGTGTCAAGTGCTCTCTCATCATTCTTGCCTTTTGATGTATCAATTAAATGGCCAAATTGCACAAATGAAGGATGCAGCTCAATAAGGATATTGCATATATGACGTTGATGTTGTTGCCACTTAAGCATGCCGTAGATCTTATTCTTGCCATGATTTAAGTGGGTTTCGCCTGTGTTTTCCCCCGTGGCTGTCTTTTGGAATTGCCGTTGCCATTACTGCTTCAATTTCAGTTTCTGTTTGATGTTAATGAAAGTTTCCGTCGTGCAAATAAAGCCAAAAGCATGGAAATCAGTAAAACAAATTGCAATCTGCTTTTTATCGCACGTCGCTGCATGACTGCTGGCTGCCGGCATTTTCCTTGCTCCGTCATCGATTGCCTGAATTTTCCCCACTTTCCCCAGCCCTTTCCCCGTTTCCCCCCCTTTACTGGCCAGGCTATTGACTTGCTCATTATGGCCCTGATGGTGACTGCTCTTGCTCCAGCTACTGCTAGATATCAGTAGGTTTTGATTCCGTTTCATTTTCAATTTTGCTGCAAAAAGCATAGCTCTTTTCATTCCGCATTCGTATCGTAACCCAGCAATCAGGGGGCATAAATTGTTAATATATCTTAAGGGATATTCAATTTCCGCCAACCGAGAAATGCATTAAATTCGTAACAAAGCTAAGCCGCTTCAACCGAAAGATGGCAAAATTGTTAAACTCCACTGAGGGGTATTATTAAAAATTCAAAGTCGTTATAGAATGGCAAACTTTTGCAGTCCAGGCCAAGACATAATAATAATATATAGAGCCAGAGTGGAGGGGCTAAAAAATAGGGAATGGCCAGGACAATGGGTAGACAACAAGCAAACTATGAACTGGGAAACTGGGAAACTGCAAAACTGAGATGCCGAGATGCCCAGATGCCGAGATGCTCAACTATGCCCAAGTTGGCTGTCCGACTGTTTATTTTCACTAGACTTCGTCTTTCACTGGCTTCGGCCTTATTACGCTCGTTGGCCCATCATCTGCATGGCCTTGTGGTGGGTGGATGGGGTGGTGCAAATGCCAGGACGAACAGGCAAGTTGTCAACTAACTTTGCAACAATAATCGCCAACGTCGCAGGAGTAGAAGTGACTGAGCTGAAGCAGCAGCTCGTAGATAAAAACCAGAAAACAATAAGACTTTTGACTGACTTTTACTCGGTCGTCTCAGTTCCTCCACCTCTGGCACTGCAGCGTTTACCCTCGAAAAAGCAAAGGTCCTCAAAAGGAGCAAACAGCAGCAAATAGGCTGTACGGAAAAGGATCTCTTCAGACTTCCGAGCCATGGAATAAAGACGTGATTGCTTTTGCTTTTTGTTTGCTCAGACGAGAATAAAGAAGGTTGAGAATATGCGAACAGGTTGATATGTGGGCTCAACTAAGTTTTCATTTTGATAAAATAGTGTACACAATAAGCTCTGCGATAATGTCTCTTAAATGTCTTTTTTAATGTCTTTAAAGAACCAATTAAAAGCCTGATAAAATATTTACTAAATAAGAGATCGCACAATGCGAAATTTAGTTCATAAAATTAAATTTAAGTGCAGCAATTAATTAAGCAATTTCATAAATGACCTTATAAGAAATTCATATACACAGTTATGGGTGCCAGTTGATAAAAATGTGCATCTATATTGCACAGAAGAACTTATGGATACCATTTTTAAATTTTTACTTAAATTCGATTTAAAATATGTTTTATTTATTTATTGATAATTTAATTACTTTCTGCTGTTTAATTCATAGCTCTGTTAATGGTGAATACATTTATTTACCTACTAAATAAACACTTTTAGTAATAAATCAGCCTCCTAATATATATATATATTAAAAGGGTTTCCTAAAAATTAAATTTGGTTTTATTGTACATATGATGTACACATAAATCACAACCAAATTTGGTTGTAAAAAGTTTCTGTTGTTAAATGGAATAGTTTTGAAGCTAAATATATCAGTCAAAAAAAACATTTTCACATTTTCCATTTCAGATTCTCTTTCAAACGCAATCCCATTAAATGAAATAAGTACATTAGCCAACTTTTTGCTTCACCAAACTATTGAATTAGCAGCCTCATCAGGGGGTGTTTAAAAATGTCTATCCAATTTCTGGCATTGTCGTGGGTCGTAACTGTCCTCAAAAAAGAGCAAGGGAGCTGGCAGAATAGTGTGCGTGGCATATGTAAATTTTAAGCTAATTAAAATTAGCATATATTTCCCCTTTCTGTGGGGACATATGCGTATGTATGGTATGTAGAGTGTTGGGGCCCATTATCTGGCTCAGCCGCAAGAAGACGTGGAAAACTACGCGCTGCGAGCTGATTAAAAGCGAAGGCTAACAAGCGTTTGCTCTTTGCCCCTTCGTCCTGCCCCTGCAACATATGGGTCCTGACCCCCAAAACCCCTGCCACGCCCCCTTCAGGACTGCGCCCACTTTGCCAGAGGGATTCTGTGTCATTTCAGCTCAGCATTAGAGTCGTAAAAATTTATTGTAACTTTTTTCAGGCCACCCATGTCTGAGCCGGCGAGCTTAAGGCATTATGCCTTTTAATTAAATCGCTCAGATGTGTGTCAGACATAAAATAAAATGGAGTAAAATATAATTTTACATATACAAATATATATATTTAAATTGTTTTCATCTCAGAGAGTTTGAGCTGGCTTTAGTCGATTACAAAGCTTCGTATTAATTATCATAATTATGCGTAAGCGCTAGTTGGCATTTTAATTGCTCATCCGCCATGTTGCACATTTCATATAAAATGCAACAAAAAGAAACACGGAAAAACAGACAATCTGAAAAAAAGGACCATAAAATTTCATAATAAAAATCTGTTTTAATTTAAAATTACAAAATCCCCTAGAGCGGTATACATCAATTCGTAGTTGAGTTCACTTGGTTTGCATTTCGAGGATGCATTGTCCTTATTCGAGTCCTTTGTTAATTGCCGGAAATGCAAATGGGCGGCAAGTGGAGGGGGTATGAATGGTAGGGAGTTCGGTCGACCATAAATGATTTCCATTTTAAATGCGTGCGAACCGCTTTCCATTTTACCATTTATTTACTTTGGAGGTGAGCCAGCTTCCTTTTTGGGCCCCACTTTGTACGCAATTTTCATTTCTTTGGCCATCGCTTGTTCCTTTTTTCGGTGGGACAACATTTCGCATTGGCTTCACACCAAATTTGATTTCATTCGCAAGGCGCTCTCAAGTTAAATGGTGCAGAAACTCCTGTTGACTTGCCGACTGGCTGACCGACCCAAAGTAGGATCTCGAAATGAATTTAAAAGCCACTTCTCGGCACAGAAGAGAAATAAAATCTTGGACCCTAAGAAATCAGTTATTGAAATCTAAAGCTTTTACGCACCTACATATGTAGATATCTCAGGAAATAAAGGTTTATCCGTTGTTTTCTGTTTATAAATACAAGCTGTTACTTACTTTAATTTGAATTTCAAAAGTCAAATATTTCGGTTGCTTAAGTATCTTAAACATTTTTGCTTTAAATTTCTATTACATATTTATATTTCCCAATTGAAATTTTTAACCAAAAATATGAGTTATAATATAATGTAATAGTTTTTCCTGCGTGGAGAAACGAATGCCCAAATCCTGTTTTCTGTATCTCTATAAATAAATGTCACAAGTTTAACATTTCAATGCGAGCCATCCAAATGCTCTCTATTCGATGTCAATTTGTATGCTCTCCAGCGCATTTGCATAACAAAATTGCCATGCATTTCTCATTCCGTTCCGATTTTTTTTTGTGTCGGGCCCGGCACTTTGAACTTTCGAATGCAGCCCAAGTCGCCGAAAGAGTTGGTTATCCATTTGCAGCTCAGCAAGTTTTGACTGCAGAATGTCAACAAAATAAATGCATAAATAAGGAGATCATCGTGTCAAGGAGGCGGCAGGACCACGCCCACTTCCACTTCTCAATATAACGAGATGATGAAAAATGTTTGAGCTTTGCATTATTAAAGTTTTTGGCTGGCAGTTGGCAACTTTTCCCGTGCTGATAAATGGCCCCAAGCTTTCGGAGTGGATGGGGGAAAAAAATAAACGAAATAGAAGGAAAACTATTCCATCTTCACTCCTGGTGCGAACATCTTTCAATTGAAATATATCTCCATTTTCCTCCGGCCATCTATATATGCACCTCTATGCCCGTGTGCATGGGAGTGGGATAAACCCATGCATACTTTTCTGGGCTGCCATGGGAGTAATGGAAATGGTGCCATTTAAAATCGTCTCTATTAAGCTTTGCTTGGCAGCCTTAATTAATTAAATGCAGATAATGCTTGACCATCCCCCATTCGCTTTAAATGCCATTAAAAAAGATTGCCTTATCCCTTGGTGTTTTTCATTTCACATCAATCCATTTATTGTAAAATACGCCGGTCTAAGGGCCAAGCTTTCTGGTTTTCCTTTTCCTTTTTTTTTAGTTGCTTAACTTACAGGACATAAAATTAATGTATACATAATATAGTTCGTAACTTACTTGCTAAATGCATTTATTTAGCTCTTATGGTTTTTGCCCTTCGCTCACTTCATTTGTTTGTTTGTTTATTTTTGGTATATGCAAAACTGCAGAAAATAGTTTTCAGTTTCTTGTTTTGTAAAAACTTGCATATTATCTGTATCTATTTCTGACTTGATCTCTTTGGCATGCGACTCCATCGGTTTTGGGGGGCGTTTTCTATCGGGGATTGGGTTTTCGTTTTGGACTGAAGCAGACATTTAGTAAGCAGTTAAACGAATGCGTAGACACTATCGTATGGTACAACAATTACAAGTACATTTACCAACGCTATAACTAGTATGACTGATATGGTGACCTTAGGCTAGAAAGTTCTCTTCTCCCCACGCGTCTGTCTGTATATTTATTATTTGTCTGAGATGAGCCTAAGCGATATTAGGCGTCTTACACGTTACAACTAATTTAGTTTTAGTTTTTAAGGAGGAGGGGGGCGATTATGTCTAGACATTAACTCTGCATTTTCTTATGTGATATGCTCTCTCTCTCTGTCTGTCTCTGTTGCTCTCGCTTTAGTCTGAGCTACCGCGAAACTTAAGCCTCTATGAGATCTTCTTGAAAGACCAAAGAATTGAATATTTATACGGGTAGAACGGGCCTGGTGTTTGCCAACTAAATTACGCATACGCCTAGTGTACTCTAAGGCCAGAGTAAGCTCCATTCGAAAGATTAACGCTATATAACTTAGGTCTGATCTGCTGAGTATTTACAATGGTTGTGGGGATTGGGGCGGTTGTTGACTTTTCTTTTTACACTTATATAAGATCTACGATCTAAGATCCAAGATCTTTTAGATCCACTTCCCACAGACAAACAGTGGACTCCCAACTATAGTAGGCATGGCTATGGTGGTTCACTGTAGCGGTATTTCCCCGTTGGTTAAAGCGGGAACAGCTCACTTACGCCTGCCCGGCGGCCACGAACTGGACCACACTGTTGTTGGCTTTCGCCGCCGGCGCTGCTGCTGCTGGCGTTGTTGTTGCTGTTGCTGTTGTTGTTGCTGTTGCACTGCTCAACGGCGCAACATCAGCAGCAGCCGAACCGGAAACGGAAACAGAAACGGAAACGCCACTCGCCTGACACTCGACGGCGGGCAGGCGCTTGACCAGCATCCGGCTTGACTTGACCGCTATCCATTCATTGCGAGCGGCATCGAACCAAGTCAGGCCCAGATTGTAGCGCCCATTGAGATTGGCGTGCTGGCAATGAGAGAACCACCAGCCACCCTCATAGTTAGCAGCACAGTGCGTCTGTGAGATGTCCCGATCGTCATCGATGGCCGAGAATTGCATTCCCTGTTGATAGTTCAGTGCATCGGAGGCATTGCCGGAATACTCCGAAATGTGCAGCCGATAGCCATCGTCCCGCGAGGAGATGTAGAATCGCTTGTATTCGGCCACCCAAACGTTGTCATAGATGTCCTGCATTTGCACCTGCAGCCGACTGCAGTTGTCCAGTGTCAGATGATGCAGCTGCTCGTTGCCAATCCAGAATTCACCGCCCGGAGTGCCGAATCCCTGCGAGTAGTCCGCCCACGAGCGGTTGAAGTCGGCACTGCCATCGAAGCGGCGCTGCACTGTCGTCCAGCCGTCGGCGGTGCAGTGCGTCATCAGCGGATGCCGTTGGCCAGCGGGCGCAATCAAATGCAGTCCATCCGTCTGGGTGTGCACCTCGCTGCAGTCGTGCGGCAGCCTGTTGATAATTGCCTCGTACTGCGTCTCCACGTTCTCCAGTTCGCTGACCAATGTCTCGGCCAGGACGGAGTCGCTGGCGGTGTCCTCCTGCGGCGATTGCTGTTGCAGGTTCTGGTGATGCGGTCGCTTGTGGGGCTTGTTCAGGTGGGAGAGCTGCGGGAGATGGAGGAAGCATATGGAGATCTGATTTAGCCAAGGGGTAGTGTTAAATAACTTAAGGCGGTGCAATGAAAAATGAATCATGTGAGTTCATGTATTAAATTTATGTTTTCAGGAGGGAGAATGCTTGCCAAAAGTTAGTGTTCAAATGATATAATGAATATTTCACAATTTTTTGTGCATTTTTAGATAATATTTATAGGTAATTAAATTGGTAGTTATTTATAATTCATTCGTTGGATTCGTTGTTTTCACACATGCCAGATATCAAAACAATAAATTAACATGTCATTTAGTTATATGTAATAAATTAGTCTTTAATAAAGTTCAGTTTATAAAAATTTATTTCGAGGAACTATTGAATGCGTTTAAAGCAAAAACCAAATAAATTAAATTTAAGACAATTTTTTAATTTTTTTCAAGTATCAACACAAAATTACAGCCATTTTAAGGTTCTTAATACCAAGTGTAAAGTCTCACCTTATTTTTCAACTCATCGTTGACCAGTGACTGCAGGCGATCCACGTTTGTCCTCAGTTGATCCACGTTGGCGGACAGCTTTCGCATTCCTTCGCGCTCCTCCTGCAGGACACTCACGCTCACAGCCATGGCTTGCAAGGATCGAGCCGCATTGGTGCCCTCCTCCCGGATCAGACTTTGCTCGGAGGTGATCTGGGCATTGGCGAACTCCAGCTTGGAGATCTCGTGCCGCAGCTCTGGGATGCTCTTGTCCATCTTGGTCTGAAGTCCCTGCACATCTTCGAGGAGCTCCAGCATTGAGGTGTGCAACTTGTCCAGCGAGGCGATCTGGCTGCTCAGGTTGAAGTTGGCGTTGGCAATGCGGTGCTGCTCCACCTCGATGCTGCGCACCCGCTCATCGATGTGATGGAACCTCAATCCGTTCACCTGGCGGCGCAGGTTCCGCTGGGCCATTTGCAACTGGTGGATCTGATCGCTCTGGAAACGACAGTGCCGGCGCTTATGATCGGCGGTGTGTTCTAGTCCAATTGGCTAAAAGAAAAAAATGATTGATTATTTATAAGCAATTATTATAACCAGTCGATATGATTCTTATTTATGTAGGTCCTAAAATATGTAACTTATTAATTTAATATCACTTCTTGTACTTTGATTATCTTATTCATATTTTCTAAGCTTTTAGGATTGATATAAAAAATAGTAAACTATTTGGTTTCGGACCTCTTCACTTAACTTTAATTTTTTCTGTGCCACGAAAACGCATGATAAGGATGATGCGTGGCAAAAGCTCGTAAGCTGGCTGAGATTCTTTTGTCGCTGGATGGGCTGGGATTATGTGCTGGGAATTGAATGCTAAATCCATTTATTATAAATGCATTTCATAACCAAGCAGACAGAGTGTGCCACAATAATGTCAGCTGCAGCTTCGCCGGCAGCTCAGGCTGCAGCTTTGCCCAAAAGCGTGTAAATCCCTGGAGCTGCTGGTGCCGCTGGCGTGGGTGGATTTGCATCCTCCAAGCGCCCAGATCCACCTCTTCTCTTTCAGCCCCCCGCCCCCACCTAACTCACGGTGGTAAAGCTGCATAAATTTCCACATACATACAATATGCATAGAAATAATTTTGCTGAGTGACAGCAGCGAGCAGCTGTAAACCAAGGTAATGCCATTTGGGTCACATTCAGCCGGCGCCATGAATGAATATGCCCCAACGCCAGAGGATCTATTCTATATACGTATCTGCCGCCCCAGGGTTTCCTTTCATTTACGTTCGTGGCCATCAGTCATAGAAATGTTCCGGGTAATTGACTAATAAAGGATGCTGCCAGGGACAAAAGACGGCAGAAAGTGTCCTGCTAATGAATGCAATGAGTGAATGGGAAAAGGAATTATGATGTATGTCCTGCAAAAAAGGGGACAACAAAATACGTATAAAACAAATACGTTTTTTCTTTCAAAACCTCTTTTGAATGTTCTCTTTGACTTTCTTTTTCCTCTGACACAAATAAGTCAACCTTAAAAGAAATTTGTAGGAATTAGAAATACATCCATTTATTTATTTATATTTAACAATAAACAATTTAATTTATCATTTTTTAATCAAGGATTCGAAAGACTTCAATATTTTTTAAAATCTCTAAGTTAATTCACTGTTTGACTTCCTTCCAAAGAGTCACTAGAAAATGATATTTTTCCAAATTTTTTGCCAAATCCCCCATCGAATTCAATTATTTTTGTTAAAGAAGCTAACAAAAGAGCAACAAAAATATGGAAAATATTCATGAATATTTATGCCCAAGTTGCGTTTGTGCTCCATCGGCATCGAACACTTTGGTCCGCTGTAAAAATGTTTTCATTGGTGCCGCAGCCACTGCTTTTCCGCTTTTCCACCGTTTTTTTTTTTGTTTGCTTTGCCTTTACGCACGTTTCGGCAGTGGTTCAGTGGGTGGTTTGGTGGTGGGTGGTTCGCGTAGTGGGTGGATTCCCGCCTTGGCGTTGTTTTATGTGAAAGGTCACGAACGCGGCTAATACGACACGTTCGCGTTTTATATGAACTCTGGCCGAGACGGGGAAGTGGCCATCAAAACGGAGAAATCCTCAATATATATTCGAGCAAACGTGTTCGGTGTATATACATACATATATATGTATAAATATATATCTAAGGCAGAAAGGTGCCAGCGCTGGCATATAAATTTCGCCCATCAACGGTATAATTAAATGTGATTTATGCGGCTCAAATTTCCCGCTCGGAGACAAATGAATTTTTTTCTGTGTGCACTGGCCAATGGCCGCGTTAATTGAAATCGAAATTGAAGCATAAATATTTCAAGTGTTTTTCGTGTGAAGTCATAAACAAAGGATAACAACGGCGCAGTGGTGCCGGAGCAGGGAACTAATTAATTTCCTGGGCTACCCGGGTTGGTTCAAGGATTAAAAGTGAAAATTTTACATGCTGTACTTAAGTGAAAGCTAACAAGGATTTGCTATTAGCGTGACAGCAATTGCAAAGGGAATGGGTTTTGTGGATGTGGAAGGTGCATGGTATATGGAGCGGAGAAAAAGTGCAAAAATCTGCTCTTGTTCCTGCTGCTCCACGGCGAATTGTCGTAAAAATTTAATAGGACTTTTGTGCGATGCTTGAAAAAGTTACGCTCACTGGCAGATAGAAAAAGGGGAGGGGATTCGGTGGGTTAAGGGGTAGGGGGTCGTAGGGCGCCGCAAAATGCCATTAAGTTAATGCGCATTTGGGGGCCAGAACCGCTCGTTGTCAGGACGACCTCAGCGGAAATGGCACAGCCTCAAAGTCAACGTCAACCTGATCCCTGGCCGAAAACTGGCAGACGTGTGCATAATTTGAAACTAAAATATAGCCCACAAATATGCCACATAAAAGAGTATTTAATTTTCATGAAATCTGAGTACCTGACAAATGTTTCAATAAAAATAACTCGCCTACTTAAATAAATATCAAAAAACATAAGTGAATTTCACCGATACAAATGGTAACAATAACAACCAGCTCCACTTGAACAATCAAACAAATTGCTGGCAACAGAAGCGAGAGTAGAGAGATGGTTTGTAACATGAAACAAAGGCAAAACAAATATCAACATAAATAAGGTAAAAATGTCAGGCACTATATAAAAGGGGGAAGTTGGGAGGTCGGCGTATGAAAACAGATATACAAGGAACCGAAACCGGATTCTCCGTGTCAGGCTGCCTTGGGGCTCAATTTCTTTTGCTCCTGCCTGCCGTTTGTGTGCCTGGCATTTGTTTGCCTTGCTAATTTAACAGCCAGTCTCTCTCTCTTTCTCATATGTACAATATCCTATGCCCCTCCCAAGTTATTGTAGCATCAATAACCAATGATAAACATTGTGCTTTTCCCTCTTTCAGGCCGAATATCTGGCCCAACTGTTGCAAGTGACAGCTTTCTTCAAAGCCATTTGTAACCGAATGCGTAAACACATATGTATGTATGAATGGCTTTATATCGGAGGCATCAATCTGCAGACAGTTTGCAATTAGAGTTGGCAAATTATATTTGGCTTTTCCCCTGTCACCGGCAGATGTTTACGGGTTGCAGTGTTATCACCTCTGCGCCAAGCAATAAATATATATTCCGGAGTTTGATTTCTTGCCATTAAATCAAGCTTATTCTGCTTAATTTATTAAGGCTTATTAAATTATATGTATATGTTGTCAAGTATTTATAAGCAAACATGTGTACAAGTTTTTTGGTAATACATACGATATAAAAGAGTATCTTAAATCGCAACTTCTCTATGGTAACCTTCAAAATGTATATTAAATGTGGTTCTTCTTATTTGCCTAGCTTTCTTTTATTTATTTGCGTTTAATATTTCCGCCAGCCATTTCCCGGAATTCTCGGTCTCTGGTTTCCGTCTAATTCCCAAAAGGTTTTTCGGGGTTTTGCATAACTTTACTGCTTTGGCTTTGTACATTTTTCTTGGCTAATCAAATAAAGGAAAGTTGATTAAATTTAACCAGCCACACACACAGAATGAAAATTCTTGACTTTTTTGGGTATTCTGTTTTTTTTTTGTGGCGGCCACCTGTGCAATTTTATTGTTTGTATTTCTATTTATTTTGTTGCTTGTTCTCCTTGAGCTGGTTTCACCTTTTCCAGCTGCCCTCCATCCATGCTCCTTGGCCTTTGTTATCTGCTCTTTGCTCTTTGTTCTAATTTAACCTAATTTCTGCTTTCCTGCGCTTCTATAATAACAATTTTCAAAAATTGCTTTTGGTTTTTGTGATGAGAAAGTTCAAGAACTGGTTTTGCTGGTCAAAGAGCGCCCCCTATTCAGTGTGTTTTTTGGTGGGAAAGAAACCGGCGAGGAGAAAAAAAAATAATAATGAAAAGGATCAAATTGTGCTGAAGCATCGCGAGTTTGTCGTTCAGGGGAGTGAGGGATATGGCGGGGGAACTGATTATCGGAGCACTTGCGAGCATCTGCCGGAGCTCCATCTCCATCGCATACTACACAACTTCAACTCCTGCTGTTGACTGCCAAAAACTTGGCATCACAAGAGACAAAAGGCAGAAACAACAACAGCGGCTCTCCGTCTGTCCATCAAGTTAACCTAAGCCAGTTCCCAAAGCAGCTGGCCAGTAACCCCCCTCCCCTCCCCTCCCTCCGTTGACTCAGGGCGATTAAAAGGTGATTTCCTGCCTTTTGTTTTGCAATTTTCAGCAATTTCGCTTTATATTTGGCAACGGCCTGCCCATTAATGATATATAAACACACAGAGGCACTTGGGTATACAAGGATATACGTATGGACATACATACAGTATGTGATGCGTGTGCTTCGAGGTCCGGCGAAAGTCGCTTAAGCTGCCTGGCTGAACACTTAATCCCCTCCTTGAACTTAAGAAGTCTCAAGGGTATATCGAACCTGTATGAATTAGAGGTTAACCATGGTCAATCGATCTCAGTGGAATAGAGACAATTTCCCGGCACTAAATGGTCATTAAAACTAATTAAAATAGCTTGTGTTGACAGGAACATTAAACAGGAAAAATCTTTATAAATATTTATACAAGCAATATTTAGCAGTATTAAAAAAGATGAATAGCAAAAAGCTAAGATAGTTGCTTGTGTTGAAATAAAATCCCCAAAAAGTTAAACCCACCAATGGATATCACGTAGTCGCAATGCTGCCCTTCAACCCTGTTTATATTTTTCTTAAAATTTATATTTCGCCCTTTGAGACTGGCAAGTAATTGCTTTAGCTCGTTGAATTTTCTCCGCTTTGTGGGCGAACAGAGAACATACAAAATTTCCTGCAAGCCAAGCGAATTACGCTGGCAAAAATACAAAATGTATTCCTCTAAGCAAGCAAATTTCGGTTAAGCCAAACTTCAAAGTGGAGCGCACTGAGTGAATAACGCTTAAGGAGCAGCCACAGGAACGGCAACTAGCAACCAGCAACCAGCAACGAGCAACCAGATCAAAACAGGTGGCAGCCAAACCAGTTTAATGGGGAAAAAGGGCCCCACTGACATATTTCGTTGATGGTCGAACGACGTTCGTTACCGCATTCTCATATTGGAGCGGACTGGCGCATAATCCTTTTAATGAAGCAACCTGGAAGCTTGTTACCTGACTGCCTTCCCATCGCTGTGGCTTTACCTGTTGGCAGCTGCCTTTGTTATCGCTCCAAGTTTTCCCCATTGTTGCTGCTGCTGATGCCGTTGTTGCTGCTCACGCTGCTCCTGCTGCTTCTGCTGCAAGCCCTTTATTGACATTAATTATAATTAAGAAGGTGGAAGGGTGTCGAGTCCTTCCACCCCATGGCTCACGATGTGCGAGCTCATAAGGGCTGGAGCACCGGAGTCCGAATCCTTCAGCCTCGGATTTCTAGAACATCGCACTGACGTATGCCATCCCTTCCCATCATTCACTGTAAGCCAGACATGAGAGCCCGGCTAAGTGTGCCAGGATTCTGACGAAAGGATACCACTGATCATGGCTTCATCATTTGCAGCAATCTCTTTATGATTCGACTGGGAGCCCGGACATTAAGGCTTTCGAACGTGGGCCTAAGTGGCTGCCACGGGCGAGGCGGCTTTGGCATTAAATATTAAATACGACAACGTCCTGCGGTGCGTATGAGTAATTTGGCCAACGTATGTGTGGCAGGCCATTAAAACGCCGAGGCAAAAGGCGAATTGCGGCGTCGGGCCCACTCGTTAGCACATCGTGCCGCTTACCGCCCTCAACGTTTACCGCTCCTCACCTGGGCGAGGACCCATTTACGCGCAGTATAAAGTAAGGCATAAAACGGCCAGATAATGCCCCGCCAGGTTGGCGGTCGGTTTATGGGACGCACTTACAGCGAAAACAAAACAAAGCGGAGGATTTCTTTTGGGGGTCATAAAAACGACACACTGAAAAAAACGTTACCATTTATAGGCTTATCTACATTGATTTAATCATCCTTACCACTGTCAAATGTTCTATCAAAGTCGAAAACTTTGCTTAATTTCAAAATAACGGTATCTTTAACTATGACACTAATTAAATTGGTTTACCTATTATTATTAGATTATTTAGATTTAATTTATTTTGATGTGTTAATTGCTTGAATCTTGCATTTCCAAATCTTATGAAAAAAGTACTAAAAAGAAGTTGACTTAAGGTTTTCGTTTAAAATACATTACAAATACTACATTTTATTCAAATTTTGTATATAATTTCACTCAGTGCAGGATCCTTTTACCTAACCCTTGCGTGCTTATCTGATGATTAGCATAAAGTGGGTACTCACCTCCTGGTTGGCTTCCTGGCTGCCGCTCTCCTCCTCAACGCTGGCCGAGCCGCCGTCCTTGCGAGTCCTTTTCTGCAGCTTGACGAGGGAGTGCTGGAAGTCCTGCTCCTGCTGGAGCATTTCCTCGCGAAGCTCCTGGACATAGACCTCCGTCTGCTGCTGGCGTTCGCGCTGGGCGGCCAGCTCGAGCTTGAGCTGCTGGTAGTCACTGCGAATGGTGGCCAGGTCCTCGAAGGTGGAGCTGCGCTGCTGCACATCCTTAGCCACGTTGCCGGCGGTCCTTTGCAGATCCACCAGCTGTTTGCGGATCTCGGAGATCGTCTGCTGCAGCCACTCGACGGTCAAACGCTCCTTGTTGCCGCTTTGCGAGGAACGCAACTGGTTTACCTCCTCCCTGAGAATTAGAAATTTATTAAAATCCTTAATTAGCCGGGGGATAGACAAACCATTCGTAACGCTTTAATAGCTACACTCTGATCAGGAAATCTAATTTAAATTGACATTTTCAGGCTGTCGGATAACTTAATTGCCAATGCGGCTGGCGTGCGGTCCACTAATGGGATTTCGACCTGCACTCAATCACGCTCCTGCACCGCCAACATGCCGCTAAATTTCCATGGACCATTTAAATTAAGCGCTCCGGTATAATTTTAGCAGCCACGAACATTGTCAGCAAACAGAAATCATAGAAGTCAGACAAACAGAAATTAACAAAAAACGATGGCAACTTCACGGAAAACACACAAAATAAAAATCCAAGTGAGGCCTGGACCGCAAACAACAAGTGCTGGCAAAAACGTAGTTTAAATGTTGAAAATGAAAATGTTGTAGCACTTGTGGCAGTTGCCAGCTACCAAAAAATAAGTAGAACGAAACCGAACGCATTTTTGTGGCATTTCAGACAATTAAAGTAGTCAGTTGGAAGGAAGCGGAAACGGAAGCGGAGCCACCAGCAGTCGGAGCACAAGAAGCTGAACAAATTCGGAGCGTAGGTAAAAAGTTTTGTTTTCGGAGGCAGCAGAGGCAGCAGAGGCAGCAGCAGCAGCTGCCGCTGTTGTTTTATTTTTCACTGTCAAAAGAGCACAGCTACATGAAATTTTCATAAAGAAAAACCCAACCAGCAGCAAGACAAAAATAAAATAAGCAAAACAAAAGTTGTATTCTCTCTTTCTTGGGCTGGCACACACACACTCATACATCACATTCGCATAGGTTTTTATTTATGCCTGCGTATACGTAATATTTCAAATTGTTGCATTGTGCGTGGGCGGTTTTTGTTAATTTTATGGCTTGCAAAAGTTTTTTGTGGTTCAGGCCAGACAGACTATGAAAAGTTATGGATTTGTTTGGCTTCCCCTTTTCCAGTATAATTACTTAAATATTTAATTAAAACGGGGTGAGGTCGGGTAAAAGTTGGGGTATTAAAAGCATTAAGCCAACCCAACATGTTGCGCAAAAACAAACAAGTATCGCCAAATATTTGCTATGTTAACTAAAATAAAAAAGGTTTTTTTTTAGCACAGTTCCTGAAAAACTTGCATTACTGTCCAAAAAACAAATTCTAGCCCTGCTCGTTGGCAACTGTTGTAATGCCAAACCAACTGAATTTCCCCCTTCGCCTGCCAATTTTTCGCTTGGCTGCTACACAGTCTTTTCCAACAAAAAAACTGGCTGTCATTCAAGTGAAAATTGAAAATGCTGTCAATGACATGCGAGCAAATTGAAAACGCAACATGAACTCTGCAAATGCCGAACTTTATCGGGCCTGATTTGATGACGTCTGATGGTATGCGCATCCGCATCCGCATCCGAATCCGATTTTTCCGATTTTAATTAACAAATTGGATGCAGCGGAGTAACGTTTTATCAGGGAATGTTATCAAATATACTCAAATCAACAGAATGGACCTGCCCAACACGGGCCACACGAAATGCTAGTAGTGGTCTCATGGTCTCAATCAGATAATGATGTTATCTAGCTGAGGGAAAAGCTGATCCAGGTGGGCGGAAGAGGGGCTGTGTCAGTCGGTGGAAGGTTGTATAGTGGTCTGTTTTTGGGTGGGCGGCGATAGTGGATCACATAAGCCACAACTGACATGACGTTTGACTGGCGTTTGCCTTGGGACTTCCTTCTACACACATGTCCTTTCTGCAAAGTACACTCATATGTATATGTATGGTATATAAACATGAGCGTGTGCTGAATTATTTACGGTGTCACTGACAAACTTTACGATGTCCACGACAGCAACAACAATGGTCTAACCTTAGCTATTTGTTCAGTAAATTAAGAGTGTGCCATTTTTACGTATTTTTTACGCTGCCACAGAGTTGTTGGGTTTGGCGAAACTGATATATGTGTGCGTTCTGCTCGATGAGACAATCATTATTAGTCAGCCCATGACAACAAAACAAATCACGAATACTACGCAAACTTGGGCTGGGCTTGTGGCTCGTGTCTTTGCTCTGATTAGATGTCTTATCCTGCTTCTGCCTGGATTCCCCCCACATATAATATTTGTCTGAATCAGTTGGACAATCATGTCCCGCATTGGAATTCTTTTCCTCATTGAGAAGTTGGAGGAGTAGGAAAATGGAGGGAAAAACTGAACAATGAGTTCGTTTTTTCGCTATCAAAATAGTCGTAAATAATTGTAACCTTGTCATGGGAAATGGTAGAAGGAATGATATTACAGCAATCGTAGAGAAAGAAGCTGAAATTAATGAATGTGATTTATTTATTCCTTACTTGAAAAATCAGTTTTTCTCGTTGAAGGAATAAATTCGTTAGAATATTTCTTAAGTTAACTTACATATTAATACGTTTAATAGAAATGTTTTAAATATATTATAGCAAGCAAAATGGGTAACCTACTTTTTGAGTAAAAACAGAATAAATAAAACCCAAACTGCTGAGCAATTAATGTGACATTTTTCACCATGCTAAAAACTGTTGCCCGCTTTAGAGGGCCATCAATTCGTTGGCCAAAGTTGTGTGACAAGTTCTACGTGACTGGGGAAAGTTTGGGCCAAGTTGCGAGACCCACAAATTGGCGGCGAGACATTGACCAATTGTACGGGCCTCCACACAAATTAAAAATTCAGATTCCATTTAGAGTAGGTGGGTGTTCAGCCCATGGCCTCCATTTTAACTTACCTAAGTTGGTTCAGTTCGCTGCGCATGTCGGCATCCACGCTGGCCGCATTGGTGGTGAGCCGCAGGGATTTGCGCAGATTGTGCTCCAGCATCTCGTAATCCTCGCGGCGCCGCAGCATCAGGGCGCTGAGCTGTTTTGTTAGCAGGCGCACCTGGTCGCCCATTTTAATGGACTCCATGGTCCTGCCGTTCGATTGGGATTCCATTGAGCTAACATCCTCGCCATCCTCGTCGTCCTCCACGAAGCGGAGCAATTCCACACTGGACTCCGGTGCCTCCGTTTCCGACTTTGACTGCATGGGCTTCTCGGAAGTGCTGGTCCTGGCGTCGCGCAACATGTTGTTCACATCGCTTAGGATGACCCCACCACTGGCCGCTCCACTAATTGAAACCACGGAAATCTGGAGTACCACCACGGCCAACAGGATTGGCCGCAAAACGCTTGAACCTGCCATTGTTGCAGGGCAATTTAAATGCTGACGCGAAACTTTCTCTTTGAGGTCTCGGAATGTTTGGCAATCTTTCATTCACACCGCGCAAAAAAAGGACTCGAGTTAGATGGGCTATTTATGCAAATGCCAACTGGCACGCATGCCGACACACAAACGATTTTCTCGACTTTCCGGCGGCGTGTGACAGTCAAACACCTTATAAAAGGCGCTGGCAAACAATGTTACAGTTATTCCTGCAGCTCGCCTCGGGCTTAATCCTCTTTGTTTTGTTTGGCTTTGCTTTTCACGTTCGGTTTTGGTCCGCGGAAAGTTCGCACCACGCACTGGGAAACTGTTACTTGACCACTTTTACTTGTGGTTCCTTGAAAGCGAAGGATGTTTTCGGCGCGGCGGTCTTCGATAGACTGAAGCGGCGCGTCCTCGGTGCTTCCTTTTATTCGCTACGATGCCGAACGCTCGGCCTCACTCGGCTGCCTTCGGCCAAGAAGAGAGAGAGCAGAGAGAGTGCGAAGTTGAATGGAGAAATGGTAGGGGAGAGTTGTAAAGAGAGCAGGCACCTGCACGAAGTAGTTGTGGGATGCAACAAGCAACTAAAGAGAGCAGTAAAGAGAGAGCTCCCAAATAAGAGAAACGACTAGACATTAGACCTAAAAAAAAATGTCCTTTAGAATGAGTACTTTTAACAAAGATCATATCTATGAGGAGCAGCAACTGTTTGCAATCCAGAAAAGGAGAAGAAAACAAAACCAAAATGGCGGTCTAGCTATCTGGTCCTGTTTTTTTTGCACTCATCCTGCTCCTGACACATGGCGCGCTTGCGGTAAGACTACTACGAAAACAGACTGCAACCAAAACGGCAGATGTTTAGGCCCCATAGGCAGACGTAAAAGTGCGAAAACATGTTGACGTGCCTCGAAAGTGCAAGAAGAAGGGGGAACACCCTGAAAAACGGAGAATCGGTGTTGCAAGGAGCTGGAGGAAACGTATCAATGAATAAGAAAAATTTAACAGGAAAACTCTCCTTTGTCTTACTTTGCAGGCAGCTGGAAAAACGTGATTGTTTCTGGTTTCCTATAAAAAGGATATATGGAGTAACTACCCCTATATGTATTCAAATCTCTTCCAAATGTGGATTACGGTATGAGTTACAATCCTAACAATAGAAGAGATTACAATGAATATTTTTGGATACTATTGCCAGTATTTTTAATATGATTTGATAAATTCCCTGCAGCTTTAATACAAAATCCTTGATTGGACTGTTGTTTGTTAGACTGCAAAGGATAAAAGCAATATACACCAACTCTTTAATATAGTCTTTTTGTAGGATTTTTGCCTTTAGGCCACAGTTCTATCTCAATTTAAATCGCCCCACACCCACCACTTCGCTTCGCTGATATTTTGCAGACATAAAAGCCGGAAAAGGTTTTAAAGTGCAAAGTTGGAATGCGGCTGCAAAAATCACAGGCAAAAAGGAGCAGCAAGGCCATTGAATGGGTCGTAAGCCAACTAGCTGCATTGTTGCAATATGAATCCAAAGGGGTGTTCAACAGGGGGCTTACGCATGCGGGAAAATGGCCAAAAAAAAATGCCAAAAATGCCGCCTTACGCACCGAAAAAGCGTTGTAAGCTATGCACTTTTCCTATTTTTTTTGTTCTTTCCATAAATTTAATAGGGGTGAGGCATGGTCTGGGTTCAGCTGAATGGAATGCGCGCTTGGCTGAACAGGAATGGAGTGGGAAAATTGGTAGAAAAGGGTAGCGACTGCAACAGTCTGCCATTGTTGGCACTTGCCAAAGCTCTGTTGCAATTTGCAATATTTTCATACCCTTGCAGGGAGTCTAATAAATTAGAACAGAAGCTTAAATAAGTTTAGTATAAGCTATTTCTGAAATGGTCTTATGGTGTGGAATCAAATAAGTATATCGGTTAAGTACATTTCTACAAGTTCTGCAGAGCATAAGCTCATTAAACCCTCTTATAGATACTTTTTTTAACAAACACAATACCTCTTGAATATTTTCTTTCTTTCTTTTCAATTTATTTATGTACTTTTATGAAAATGATACGAGTAATAAATATACTCCCCAAAGAAATACAAATATTTATTAATAATTTTTTATATTATATTTACATTTATTTAGATTAAAAAAGACCTCTAGGTCATAATACTTGTGCTAGTGTATGCCTGTCTTCGGTTATCGAATCAGTCACTTTTTTCTTGTATTATTTCGATGTCGATGTCGTTTTCGTTTTTACTTTTTAATGTACTGCCAGAAGCGAGCGGCGAGTCAGAAAGCGGAGGACAAGCTGTTGGCCAGCCCCTTTGTGGTGGCCATCATCAATGGATGTGGCTGCATAATCAAGCGCTGACCACATGCACATCCATGGCATATCCCCAGCCATCCGGCTGAGCTGTTTGCATATTTTGAGTGGACGCAGTTTAGTTTTTAATTTGATGCCTTTGTTTGTTGTCATTCGGTTCTAGCTTGTTGCACACGGCAAGTGCAGTGGGTTGGGGTATTGCACCTGGGAGTGGTGGCTGCCGCCATTTGCATGGGAATCCCCCTCATCAACCCTTCTGCCAACCCACCCCCCTTGGTGCATTTGTTTCATTGTCGCCCGTTATATTGTTGGCTTTTATGCAGGGAAATGTGGCTGGAAATGGCAGCGAATGGCTCACGTTATGGTCAGCATATTAAGGTAATGGCCTGGAAAGCCAGTCGGTGCTCTCCAGTTCACTCCCTGAATTGGTATTAAATGTGAGCATGGCACGACTCGAATGGAGTTCAAATTTCATTTGCACTCATATTCGATGGGGACTTCAACGGTTGCTACCCATCGAATGCTATTATGAGGTCTCATGCAGGTGCTAAAAGCAGGTACTCTATGCGATTTGATGGGTACTCGCATTGTTCTTCCCATTGCACTTGCACTAAAAACAAATAGCTCTATGTGGTATAGCAACCTTTTTACAAAAATCTAGAAACATTATACTCCAACTCATACAACATTTTTGGATTAACAAGATGAAGAACAATATGTTTGCATCTAGGATAATAATTAATGTAAATATGATAAAGGAGCTTTAAACAGTCTATACATTTATAAGTAAGGTTAATAATAAGCTTTTATCTATAATACTTTAAAATATAATATATAATTTTTGAATATTTCTTTGTCTACAATTTTTCAAACCCCAGTTTTAAATTAAATAAATCCTTATTAAAAAATATTACAAATCAGAAACTCAATATTTTAACTGTATTTCAATATTCAAATGGAATTCCAGTAATTCACTTAATTAAAAATTCTTTAGCTTTATGAGTATCCTAAAATAAACGCAACAATCAATGCCTGAATGCGGGAGCAGGTGTCTCTTATCTCTCCATTGACCATTTCGTGGCCTTTCTGGCCGGGCAGATGATGAGGGCTCATCAGGCTGGCCCCGAGGATTGTTGATTCTACATATTGGGCAGACGAGATGAGTGCTTAAGCCGAGGACAGGTTCCGGTTATGTGGCATGCAACCAAGAAGCACGCAACCACGCACGCGATATATTTTCAGCACAAGCGACAGTTTTATGCCTTCGAAAATATATCTGACCGAAAAGCGATCCAAAAGAACGGTGCGCAGGCGCAGTTCCAAACTGAACACTAATCATCTGAGTGACAACGGCTGCAAGGCTGCAACAGCTGAGGCAACTGGCGAACTGGCGTACAGAAAAACTGACAAAAACCGGCTGCTGCTAACGGCAGGTGCAAAACATTTACCACTCGAACGAAAATTTCCTACCTGATTTAATCTGCTGCTGTTTCAGTTGTTCCTTTTTACTGTTGCAGGCGGCTGGTGTTGCTGCTGGGCCTTGATGTTGCTGTTGTGTCTTGGTGTTGCTGTTGCTATTGTGCCTTGATATTGCTGCTGTACCAAGGCTTCGCTTCGTGTTGTTTCATCAACTTTGGGACTTGCGGCGTGGCATGTTGCCTGCATGCTCCGCTGATCACACAAACACACACACACACTGGCTCACACAGACACACACCAGCAGGCAAACAAACACACAGACACTTTGCTATCACTCAAGGCTGTTCCTGCACGGCTGCCTCCGTTTTAACCATCCACTTTGGTGGCTTTTTCTTGGCAACACCAACGGCACTGGCATCGCCGACTGTGGTCTCCTCGGCTTTGCTTTTGCACACTCTTCGCGGAGAGAGTGAGTGAAATGAATAGGAGAAGAGGGAGGAGGAGGAAAAGGAGGAGGAGGTGCACGCATTGACGGAGCATAAAAACAATCCCTAGGAGCCATCAAACGAATGAGGGCTAATGCTGCCATTGACCAACATACGAGAAGCCAAAAAAATTGAATAGATGAAGGAAAGAAACTCGACCTTTAAATACCCTAACTAATTTTTTATAAAAAATTCTTCGGACATACAAATACTGTGAATTCTTGAACAATTTTAAATACTTCTTAAATCTTTGGCCAAATGCCTGCGTCAACATTTTATGAATTATACAATTTTAGAAGTTTGCTATTACTTTGAAGGACAGTATAAAAAATGGTTTCTGACTTAACAGTAGTTAAAGCAGGAGAAGAAGTATAATGATAATTAGGCGAATATAAACCAAAAATAAAAATGTATTTGATTTTTTTTTTAAATTTGCAATTCTAATTGGAAAGTCTATTTGGCAAGGTCTGCCCCTTAAAAAAAATAAAAGTATTATTTAGATCGATAAATTAGTTAAATTTTTGAATAATAGTTTAAGCGAACCCAAAGAGTTACATAGTTGTGAGTTAAAATTAAAACTGAGAAAAAGGAATTCAAGAATTATCTCAAATATCCCCCAAATTTCAATATACCTTTCTAACTACGAGTACTTCGAACAAAAACAGAACCAAGAGCGACAGCTGCAGATACAGATGCAGATACATCTACCAGATACATCAACATCCCGCAAGCGGAGTTAAGCGGAGCAGCAGGACATCGAGACAAGGGGAGCGGAACGGGACTGCTCCTAGAGTCTTCGCAGCTGTCGTCCCCTGCTTTCCTCCCCCGCGCCAATCAACAGATTTCGGTTTTCGGATTTGGGTTTTCAGCCACTTGGCCGTAACATTAATGGACAGGCAGAAGGACCTCGCAACAGTTGCAGCTCCTTTTCGTTGCTATTCCTAGGCACCACATCCGATCCCCTTTGTTTGAAGCCGGGCAAATAATGACAAAGGACAGGCGGACGCATAGAAGGTACAAGGTGCCAGGATATGCAGCTGTCAGGGGTCCTCGGGGCATTCATCGTCCTGCCCAAAGTCCTTTGCCGTTGCGACGGTCCCTAATATCGAATACTGATGCGTGTCAGATTTGCAAGTGATGAACAGCGTTAACTGGAAATTGAC